GAAACTGTATGACCCACAAATCCTAAAATATTTACTGTCTGGCTCTTTACAGAAAATGCTTGCCATCTCTTGGTTCACACATTTTGATTCATTCTCTCTTCTTCCCAGCTGGAAACAAGTAATGATATGATCAGTTGTTTGGGTAGAAAAAGGTCTAAACTAACTGTGGGGAAGCTGGCTGCTTTCTATGCCAAAGAGGCAAAGGGAGTGTCAAACCCTAACAAACCACAGGAGGAAGGCAGATGCCAGGCTTATAATTTAGGAGGGGCTAGGAACACACCTCTAGAAAAACAATGTGGTCTCATTTTCAATCAACCAGCCTACACACTGAACCAGGCGTGGCAAGGTGCAAACAATGGAGTCTCCAGTACAAAACAGTAAAGGAACCACCTGCAGTAAGAAGCATCCCCAGACACAGGCTTCTGAAATACACCCAACTGGCCAGCCAAGCTCCAGCAGCCCAAGGGTGAACCTCATGAATATTGCTGGGCCAGTTAACTGATTTTCCAAGATACCTCCAACTCTTTTCCCACCTACATGTGAGGCAGCATCAAGCTCTCTCATACATCTAATCAGTGTCCGACTTTAACAGTATCACCCACAGCATAACTCGAAGAAGAAGAAAGAGCAAAACTGACTTTTTGATGAATATGAATTCATCAAGGAGCACATTCTTCCCCTTAGTTCTAATTACTCATTAAAGAGTTCTATTACTCATTCTAATAAAATTAAAATTACTCAAATAAACGCAACTACCTGAAAAAAGTCAGAAGAAAGTCCCGGGAATGCACGAATTCAGAAGCACTGTATTTCCCAATCAGGAGTCATTTCCAAATCAAAGGAGTCAAAAATTCATGTGTCCAGAAGACTAGCAGAAAAAGCCTGCATCTGTCTTCTCTCCTGAAATAGAACAGTGGTGTTGCATCTGGCCATACACATCACTGTCCTCCACGCTCAAAGATGACACTGCAGATGCTGTCTGTCCCCTGCTCTGCTTTGTACCATTAGCAGGCAGGTGAGTAATCCGACAAAGGATGTAAAAGCATCGCTTCCACCAACAAACAGCTGTGGTGGATCTCAGATAATACAGCTTTGTGCCTTGGGCAATCCCTTAATATCTCTAGGCCTCAGGGTTTTTTTCATCTGTAAAATGGATGGCTTTGATAGAGGACCTCTAAGGCTCCTTTTCATATGATTATTCCAGCTCTATAATTATACCTGCGTAACTCTACACTACACATAATATAAAAATGGCGTGCATCAACAAGTCCTTCCCTCACTTCCATATCCTCCTCCACCTACTCTTTCATCACAAAATGAGTGTGACAACAAATTAGCTGAGATTCCAGACTCAAATGTGTGGCTCTTGAAGTCAGTTTCAGTGAAAACTGTGTACTTGAGTGTAGTGGGTCAAAAGGAAGTATTCTAATACTGTGCCTTTCACCCACGGAAAAGACATTTCCTTTTGAAGGATAAATGCTCAGATGTGGATTCAAAACTTTGGCAGGGGCCTTGGCAAAATGCTGGGAAGACTGATGCCAGCAGATCTTTGAGGAACCATTTACTAGTGGTTGCAAAACAAAATGTGTGTGTGTGTGTGTGTGTGTGGAGAGGAGGCTCCTCCCTCTTCTAAGTTTATGAGTCAGTGAATAGTATGACGGTTTGGTGATCCCATTCTGCTCTCACAAATAAAAAGAAATGAGTATGTGAGAGAAGAATAGAAATATAGGAATGTGGTAGGTGTAAATCTCATGAATAAGAAGAGGTTTGGAGAACACTCATTGCATCTGGGGAGTCTGCTAAATTTGCTGGACCCAGATGAACAGACAGATGAGGCCTGAGCACTGGGCTCCTGGCAGCCCAGAGGAAAAGGAGACGAAACCAACTGTTGAGAAGAGGAGACGAGAACTTCTGTGGATGAAAACCTCTCTACTCAGACTAAGCCTTATGCTACAGGGTGCCAAAAAGTCTTGCACTACTACGCTCCTAAACTTTAAGATAAAATGACTTGCCAAAGAGAAGTAGCATGGCTTTTTTTGATAGGAAAATACTATTCAGTTTGATTCATCATCCAAGATCCAAAGATGGGCTTCATGGGAATTGCTCCCATGACCAAATGGAAAATTTTGCATGTTTGAAAAAGTATGTGCATTTTTCTGAGAGGGTTCAGCACTTTCAGTTTTTCAAAGAGGTTCAAGTCACCAAAGATACAGAATGTGATTGAAAAATCTAATATATTACTCTTTTCTGTTACACCTCTACTTAACTATCCAACAGGCACCCAAGCAATTTAAACAACAGATCTTCCCAAAAAGAAAATTAAGCAAGGTTCAGGAGTTGGCAGTGAATTCTGAGAAAGTGACATGCCTGCTAATGCTGCCTGTCACACTCTCCCTAAAACTTGGGGAGACAGAAAAGGTGACATGTTGTACAGGATGAGTACAACTGACTTGAGGTAGAGTAAATCACATGCTATCAGCTGAAATCAGTTCAGTCATGTCAGTGATAGAAAAGGCAACAGTAGAGCATGAAAGAACACTTGACCTGGAGTCCAGACTCCAGGAGTCTAGTCTCTAGTCCTAGCTCTGCTCAGTTCAATCTGTGACCTTGGACAAGCCTGTTCTCCCTGTGGGCTTGATCCTTATCTGTAAAATGCAAGCTATTCAAGTAGACCAATGGTTTGCAAACTCTTTTAAGGCAATGAACATGATGTATAGATGAAACATCCAAAATTAATCAGAAGCTAAAATGAATTCAAAGTGGCAGGTTGAACATATGCGTTTATCTATACTTCCCTTTAATGGGAAACCCCATTAAGTTATTATTCATAAATATCTACTACTTACTGAGTATTCATTACATGATCGTTTTAAGTGCATTAACTAGTGGAGTCCTCAGCACTCTTACTAGGTAGGTGACAATCCCCATTTTACAGATGAAGGAACAGAATCACCAGTGCTGTTTTCATGGCTAATAAGTGGCAGAGCCATGATTCAAACCCAGGCCATCTGGCCCTTTTCGCTTCTCTGTGTCTTCCCTGGCTCACCCTTACAGCCTAAATCTTAATCTGAAAATTCTCCCCCATTACTGCTTTTCACCAGTCTACTCACACCAAGTGTTAGTGCCATCACCAGATCACTCTTTTGCTTACAAATTTCTAGTAGCCTCAAAGTCTACTACCATGCAATCACAGTGGACAAAAATTTCTCATTTATATTTACTTCCTCTTCCTCCTTTAGCCCAGCTCATTTTTCTCAGACCTCTTGGTTCCACACTAAAGATGCTTTTCCCTCTCAGTCCACTTGACTCCTCTCCAGGAAAACTAATCTCCTTCAGGAGGGGTTTAGACTGACAAAAACCTTAGGCTAGGCATTATGCAAATAATACCACAAATTTTCTCATTTAATCTTCATACTAAGAATTAGGAATCATCCTTATTTTTACATTTGGAAAACTGATGCTTAGAGAGATTAAGTAACTTGCCCAAGGTTATACCTAGGATTGTAATCCAAATCCTTCTATCTCCAAAGCCGCACTCTTAACTATTCTACTCGACTGTCTCCAGAGGTCTGACTCAAATAAGTGAAAAAGGAAAAGTTTCCTTTACCCTATAGAACAAAGAGATCTCTACATAGTTTTGTTTTTGTTTTGTTTTTTTTCAACAGAGTCCTTCACAAATGCTGGTAGCCTTCTAGCCAAAGCCCACCACGGAACGCGGCTTGCAACAGCATCTCCCTACCTGGAGGGCTTCTTCACGTGGCTCAGCAGCTGAGCTAAGGAGTAGCACAGCATGCCTCTCCAGTGGGAACGGATGCAAAGCACAGGACGAAGTCTGGCTCTTGAGCCCATAATGCCAATAGGGAACAGGTGGTCAAGAAATCCCTCTCCCCACGCAGCCCATCAATCCATTCTCCGAGATCTTTGAGGTGGTGGTGCTGGGGGTGTGCCTTTCAGTGTCGGGAAGCATAGCTGCCCACCTCAAAAGATTTCCAGATCCGAGGTTAAAAGCTCTTAAGAGACAAGGAAGTAATCTAACAATCAAGGGCAAGGAATGACTCCTAAGGAAAAGCCTCCACCTCTACAACAGCGCAGCTAACTTCGAGGGGCATAAAGAAACGTCTATGGTGGCAAGAAAAGGTGCTTCCGTGATGCCCGTCAGAAGAATGTAGAGACGGCCACGGCCACCGCCCCTTCTTCCCTAGAGGGGCTGTAAGTCCATTTTCTCTTGTCTGTGTAACAGAAAAGGGAGGCAGACACCCCAATGTCTCCATACATTCTGAGGGCCTCAGCGGCGCCGCTCTCAGCCTTTCCTTCTAAGGGCTAAGAGGCTGTCCCTATCCATCTCCCCATTCGGCCCCAATCCCCCTCTCCCACTCTGGCATCTCTCTCTCCCCTACTCGCTCTCCCTCCAACCTCCTTTCCCCACCCCTCTGCGCACTAGACCTCTCTTCCCCTATCCCCCACCTTTCTTCCCTCCCCATTGGGTCCTTTGGCCCTCAGCCTCGCGCCGTCCAGCCCCCGGCACCTTCAGCGTCACGTCGCACAGCTTGCCCTGCCGCCGGATCTCCTCCATGACGCCGTAGCCGCGACTAGGCAACTCGGACACGGAGAAGTGCACCAGGTCCTCCAGCTCCTCCGCGCCGTCCTCCACCATCTTCCCCGGACGCCGCGACTGCGCAGGCCTGGCCTGCCGACTCCAGACTAAGCAGGGCGGGGCGAGGGCGCGTGCGGACAGCTGCCCGGAGGCAGGGCTGGCGTCAGACGGGCCTGCGCGGCCGCCGTAGTCTCAGACTACTCTGCGCCGGAAGCGCAGCCACCCCGCTTCCTGGTTCTTGCGCATCTTTCGTTCCCTCGCTACCCCGACCCTGACTTCGTGCTTGCAGCTGTCGAAGTCTTTCTAGTTTAGTTGGTCCCATCTCGCGTCCTCCTGATTCGGCCCTGACCCTGCCTGTAACTCAGCAGAGGACCGCGGATCTCATTTCCGCCACCACCATGTACTTCCGGGATCTCCGGAAGCGGCCCGTTGCCACGGCGACTGTGTACACAGCCCGGCAGCGGTGCGTGCCGGGTTTGGGTCTCCGCTCACTCAGCGGTCGCGCTGCTGGAGGGCTCCTGCCTCCCGAGCGGTGAGCGGGGGTCGCGCGCCGCTGGGGTGGGGAGAAGGGAGGCCGGAAGGGGGTTGTCCGCCTGGGCGGCAAGCAGTTGCTGAAATCTGAACACAGCCCAAGTGTCCCCCAGCTTGGTTCGCTGATCTGTGAAACCCTGACCAGGGAGGGGGCGGTATCGCGGAGACACTTTCAGCCTAGCTGCGGCTTAGGGTCTTTGGATCTAACTTTCCTTGCCCCAGGAGGGTCCTACGTCGCTCCTGAGGTTTGCAGATCTCTAGTCTTCTGAACCCTTCTGTATTCGTCGGTTTTCTAACTGAAGGGGCTTCGGGATCACCAGCCCCAATCCTTTGCTTTACAGACACGGAAACCGTTTTAGAGAGGGACAGGAATGGTCCCAAGGCCCACTGCCTCCCAGACTCCACATAGGCATCCAGCATTTTGGGTTAGAAAAGGGGGAAAGGTCAGTTCTACCTGGATCTGAGTCTTTTGTTTAGCTCAAGGCTAGGTGCAAATGCACCTGGACCGTATTTGGGTGGGGTTCAGATGCTGCTGCCTCTCTGGTGGCTATGAGAGTTCAACATGAAGGACTCTTTTCTGGACGGAAGCTCTGGAAGATAGGGTCCTACCTGGTCCTCTCCCTTTACCGAGCTTTCAGGGGTGCTTGGTGGCGATTCTGTTCATTCCCACCCCTAAAACAAATGAGAAAACCACGAGCCTCTCAGTAGGAAGGTCTCCTGGTGGCCTCAGCGGTTCTCTTATTTACACCAGAAATATCTAAGGGTGGTGCCCATGAGAGAGAGGTATTCCCTACTAGGTCCTGAGGCATAAAGACCCTACTAAAAGGAAGGACTTACAAAAAGGAAGCGTGTGGTGAGGGGCTGAAGTTGGCTTCTTGCCGTGGTGCCTGGAAACCAAGTGTCCTCCTGGAAGGGCTGTGGGCTCAGGGTTGGAGGTGGTGTGGGAGGGGAGTGACATCATGTGCCCTTTGGGACTCTCTCAGTAGTGACTGAAGATGGACCCACATGTGGAGATTCAGCCACCCTCTGACTTCCAGCCATTACCATGACCATCACCACCAATCACCATTTTCTTGAGCACCTGACCTGTGCTGGGCACTGTTCTGGACTTTGAGGGGGGATTCAAAAGAGAGAAAAGGCACAGTCCTGCCCCTTAAGCTGCTTATAATTTAATTTGGGAGCTGAAACCCGCTCATATGATGCGGCGTAAGAACGGTGACAAGCGTTATTTCAGTAAGTGCAAGATGGCATGGGGTCCCCAAATGTCTGGGTGTTGAGGGACCGCTGGGTAGGGAACTCACAGGAGGGATGCAGTTAACAGAGAGGGCTTGCCTTAGGTGGATATGGCTCGTGGCACAGGTGGAGCCATGGGTGTAAGCATGGGGAGGTCCTTGGGAAGCACAGGTAGGATGATTGCATGTGCATGTGCATTTGCATGTTGGCAAAGTGCTGGGCAGAAAAGGGACAGGCTCTGAGGGGAGGGCTTTGCTTGGAACTGGCCTGTGCTGACCTTGGGCTGTCAGTGGATTGGGGCCGCAGGGAGGGAGGCTTGGACACCCGCCCCAAGAGCTGCCCTTCATGGTCCCTTTCAGAGGCACCCTGGGCAGCATCTTAGCTTTCCTGGGCAGCAGGATGAGCCCTCGGACTGGTTTGGGGAATGGTTCCCAGAGCTTTAGAGATGGAGTGTAAATGTTTGCTTGAGTCCAAACACACCTCCCCCTACTCTCTATTTTCCAATAGCCTAGATCAAAGTGAACTTGAAGATGAGATACTCTCTTCAGTTTCCTCAGTTGGGGAGTCATGTTAGAGCTATATGTGGCTTTGTATTTCTAGAGCTCAATTCTGCAAACAAAAACTTTAGAACTGAAATTGGACAAACCATTCTTCTTACTCACATGAATACCTTTCAGATTCATTTTCTCAAAACTAAAAGATCTGAATTTGGCCTTCTAAAATCTCATAGTGGCCTGGATAATACGTCCATAAAATAATTTCTTGAGGAATGTGAGAAGTGGTCACACACCCTACAGCAGGCAAATATGAAAGTAACATGTTTGATTATTTGCTTTGACATCTGAAGGGCTGGTAGTAGGGATTAGAGTTATATTTTGCCCACTTTGTTGAAGCTGTAAACTGAAAGGGCAGGGCCTGTCTCTACTTAACTTGCTTCTACAGAGATACTTAAGGCCACTTCATGATAGTTAAGATAATTGTGAGAGGAAATCAAGTGGTGATCACAAGTTGTAATTAGAAATGTGGAGGGACATTAATATTTTAAACATCTGGAATCATGTTTATCAGGTAACACTCATTTAGCCTCTCTTAGATAATATCTATAACATGTTAATATTCTTTTTTTTAGAGGGGAGGTAATTAGGTTTATTTATGTATTTTTTAATTAGTTTTTTTTAGTGGAGGTACTGGGGATTGAACCCAGTACCTTGTGCATCCTAGGCACACACTCTGCCACTGAGCTATACCCTCCCCCAGTTAATATTCTTTATTTAATGTGCTTTTTTTTAAGTGAAATAATTACGTAATTAAAAGAAGAAATCTGTCATGCGTGACTTTTTCTTTACAGTCAATCTTGAAAATTAGCTTTTTAAAAATATTAGACATCTTATCAGTTTATTTGTTAGAGGCTTTGCAATAGCATGAGCAAGCTATTTTTTCCCTTAACAACTGTGTTGATATTGCTGTTTTCCAGTTTGAAGATGAAATCAAGTCACCTCCCTATGCCTTATGTTTCCCTAACTCTTCATAAAATCAGCAATTCCTCTGCTGGTTGGCTTTTTCAAAAGTGTCCAGGAGTTTTCCTTAGCCTCAACTCCTCTATTCTGCCCCATGAAAGTACAGGTTATTTGAGGTGCAAATGCCTCATTTCTTATTGAACTGGCCCAACCCAACCAGGGACATCAAAAGAGAAGTGTATGTCACAGCACATGTCCTGACTCTCAGGTCTTGTCTCAATTCAAAGTCTGTTTTGTGTATTGTGGCACATTAATTCTAAATGAGTTTTTAACATTCCTTGTATTCATGGTTCCATAAAAGTGCAATTACTGAAATCTGAGAGCCCAGTTTTAGGACTACATGGCCATAAACTCCTTGATGCTATTATTCAACTTATATTTTAGAAAGGAAAAAGAAAAAAATTAGAATTATCTTAGAAAAACTTACATGTAAAATTTGAAATGTTTCATCTTGGAACAATTTAAAATTGTATTATGTTAATTTGCCTAATAGTTTTGAACAATTAAGTTATTTGGCATATTTTCATAGACCTTTATCTTGTTTTCTAGTATGACTTAGCTAGATTTATCACAACTGGTGATGATTACAGATGGATTTTTAGCTTTCCACAGAGCTTTGACATTTTCTCTCAATACTTAATCCTTTGTCATCAGTGTATAAGAGGCACCTGAAAAGCAAATTAAGTTTTAAGTCTCCCTTAATGCAAGAAAAATCATTGCAATTATTACTTCTGTTTAAGAACCCTCTTTGCTTCCCTGCCAAATATCCACCCTATATCCATCCTGGTTAGAACCAGAATTTACCTTGTAATAGTTTAAATAGGTTTACCCAGACAGTCTCAGGAGAGGGCCTGGTGCGATTTGACCAATGAGACTAATCGCCAATAAAATGTAAGCTTTCTTAGTTATCATTTGGAGGGTGTACCATTGAATTTTTAAAAATGTTTATGAAATACTTTAATTGGACAGGATATTAGAGATCAATTAACTCTCCCTGCAATACAACAATCCATTTTGTAGCAACTCTACTAGTTGGCATCTTGACTTTGCTTGACTGTTAATGGTACTTATGGCCCTTCCCTTGAGAAAGTCTTTTCTATTGTAGGACAACTCTATACAATAAGAAAGTTATGTACCTCCCTGTCAGTTATATCTATAAGCTTTCATCCTATTTGATGATGCTACATTCAACATTTATTTTAACATTTTATTATACATGGTAATTATTTGTGGTACTAAAAATGAAGGAATACAGATACATGTGTGTCTACCTGAAAGAAAATGTATATACATAGTTAGGTTTTAGGAGAGGCAGAGGAGGTAGGGGACTGTGATTTTTCTCTCAATGGAGTGGCAGAGAAAAAAGGATATTTGACTATATAGGCTAGATTAAATATACTTCCAGGGAATCTTTTTCTGATCTAAGTTAGTCTAATAGAGGTAGAGGAGGAGATGCTACATCTGAAGTAAGGTATGTTCATGAAAAAAAATCAGTTCTAATTCATTTCATAGTATTTTAGAGGAAAATATAATGAATAAGGCAAAATATAAGTGGACTCAAATTCAGAACATTTCTAGAAACCACATTTAAATTTAGGCCACTGAAGGGAGCATTCTTTTTGCTTTGAATTTCAGTCTCTTAGGGGGTCATTGGTGGAAAATGATGAGACCCCCTATAAAGTAGGAAGTACATGGACTTGTGGAGCAGCAGCCTGTGGGCAGAGCACTGAGAATGCTAGGGGGTAAAAAGGAAGACTGGCTCTCAGTGGGAGAGGAAAACATGGACCACATATCACCCTTTTCTGATCTTCTTGATGAATGACACCTCCCTTCTAATTGTTGTTTGATGATTGACTACTGAAAATATTTGCTGTCTTCTTTTTAGCTAGAATGGGTACTAGGAAAAAAGTTCATGCGTTTGTCCGTGTCAAACCCACCGATGACTTTGCTCATGAAATGATCACATATGGAGATGACAACAAAGTAAGTGCAGTGTGTTTGCCTTCACCTGTCTGGGCATCTCTCTGTACCCCCTTGCTACAGTATGACCCTGTTTGCAAACAACCTTTTAAGGACCAAGACAGAATTGGTAAAAGTTCAGATGGAATCTAGAGTCCTTCAAGTCCAAAGCACTCCCCTAAAATGCTGTTGAGGAAACTCATGAAACTCCCATTTTAAATTGCCTTTTTGGTTAGTAAGTTTACCTTATCCTTGTATCTGACACAAGACTAACACTTGTCAACACTCACAAAACTTTCTGGTGACCAGATCTGCCATTATACAATCTCCCAGGAAGTACAGTAGGAATGTCTTCAGTTGATTACTGTTAAACTTACCAAAGCAGATGGCGAAACTCTTACTAAGAGAACTGGAAGGATTTATCCATCCCCATGTCCCTACCACTGTCTGAGAACTTTTCAGAAGCCTATGACAGGCTTCAGACACCTTGAGAGTATGGGATGGTTCCATTCAGCAGATGTCTGTGGATCTCCTATGTGCAACATTGAGACATTCTTTAAGGGAGGAATTCAAAGGCCACCTTCTCAAGATTCAAAAGTCCTAGCAGTCAAAAGGAAACTCACCTGCAACCTTGTGAAGTGCACCCTGCTAGACATGGCTTCAGTGAACACTGAAGCACAGAGCATTTCTTGCCTGAATGGACAAAGCCTCTCTCTGTTGATATTTTTTCTGTGTGTGGCTGTGTCTTGGCTTCGGATTAGGGCATCCAGGATAAGAGTCCAGTGAATGTCTGTTTATATCAGAAGCCCCCATTTTGAAGATTGGAATCTACCATTGACCTAACTCAGTATGTTTCTGATCCAGCTACTACCACAGTGGTTTGCTATAGAGGGATGAAAAACATTAAAAAAAAATGTTTAGAAATCTTTACATCTAAAAATCTGCAGATGACAAGAAGGTAGTCACCCTCAATCTACTCTAATACCAGTGAGTAACTGAGAAGTCCAGAGCCTGTTCTGTGACTCTCATTTCATCATTACTCACACTGGCCCATAGCGTGTATGTGGGAGTAGGTGCTCACAACAGTGCTGAGGAGGTCCTTACCGCCAGGATCCAGAGAGATGGGGCTCAAGCCCAGACCTCTGTCACCAAGCCCACTGTTCTCTCTGGCCCAATTGAAGGCCTCCTGGTGCTTACTGAATTTGTCTAAAGCTTGTTTAATGAGAACTTGGTAAATATTCTTGACCCCGTATCATAGATGGGGTGAAGCAAGACAGACAGCACCCTGTAAATTAGGGTGAGAGTTGTGGAAACTAACAAGTGCTCCAGTCTCCTGATCCTTCCACCTTGAGGGGGTGTGGTGTCCCTGCAGGAGCTTCCTTCCCCACTCCCAAAGATCGTCCAGAATATATGGGAGTCCCTGTTCTTCCTGAAGTAAATCTCCCTGAAGTTCCTTCCAGATCAGGCCTTGGCTATCAGTGACTTTTTTATACCAGTTTCATAACAAGTTTCTCTCTCTCTATTCCTAGACCATTGATATTCACTTAAAAAAAGATACTCGGAGAGGAGTTGTCAATAACCAGCAGACAGACTGGTCATTCAAGCTGGATGGGGTTCTCCATGATGCCTCCCAGGACTTGGTTTATGAGACAGTTGCGAAGGATGTGGTTTCTCAGGCCCTTGATGGCTATAATGGTAATTTAGTTAATTAACTGTTGTTTTACATAAGAACCTGTGGAAATCCCCTCCCCACCAACCCCCTAGTATGAGGGGCAAGTATTTTATGGTGAATAAAATAAAATATAACTTCACTTGATAATTTTTGTTTGCTTATTTGTCTATTTCCATGTTCTTATGGTGGAAAACTTATTTGCTTGGTGACATTGTGGGCATGGCTTGATCCGTGGTCCTAGGAAGATTTAATGAGCCTGGCTCTGTCTAGGTCATGGGGATTCAATTATTATCCTGTTTCCACTCCCTCAAATATAAGTTTTTAACATAATGTCTTTATGGTAAATTTGATGTAGTCAAAACATTTTTCTCTTGGTTACTCACTAGGAGCTATTTCCATTCACTCTACCAGCACAATCAATCTGTTCATATTCTAGTATGGGATTATTTACATATTTCACTAAAAACTTGAGTACAGCTTGATATTTCTTAAAAGCTTAACCAAAAAAAGCTTTCTTAACAAATTAAAATTTATTGGGAAAATCTTGAAAAGATTTAAAAGTCCTTAGAAAAAATATATCACAGTTTATAGACTTTGCCCTACATAGTCTGGTGGCTCCTGACTAGAATGTTCCCTGTTTGCAAGTTTTAGATCTTCTGTTTAAAAATCTGTTCAGTGTAGATGCCCAAATATTGTATTCTGTGTGTGATACATAGGTGTGGTCCTCACTGGTCCTGAGGGGAAGGGGGCCTGAGGAAGTGGAGACAGAGGAGCTAAGGCCCAGGGAGGTTAAGAGACCCCAGGAGGTTAAGAGTTTTGGGTGCTGTGGAGCCACAAATGGGCTCTGAGTCCCGGCTGAGCTGATTACTTCCTGCACTTTTGTGCAGGATTAATATCTATTAGACACTGCTTCTGACTCCAGCTCAAATGCTGAATTAGGGCCCCTTGTGTAAAAATCTACCAATCCCAGGAACTAGAGCATCCACATGGCAAGGGCAAACACTGATTTCCACAGCCCAGTGTTGCCTGGGCAGGTCTGCTGTGAAAATGCCCAGAAGCAGCATTTGGGATGGGGTCAGGCTCAGGCTGCCCAAGCCAGGAAGAAGAGCAGGTAGGAACTGGAGCCCAGGGTGACCAGTTTGTGTCCCAGAGCCTGGTGGTGATGGTAGACCCAGAGCACGTGAGAGGTCCAAATGAAAGTCTTGCCAGAGAAGGCAATGGGACTAGATCGGGACTTGCTCACAGTGCTCTGTTTAAGTGGCCTGGCAGCCCTGTTTGGTCCCGTGGGAACTTGAAGTCTACAAAGGAAATGCCCTTTTCACTCCCGTCTTTTCCTGGTGATTTTGAAAGTCCTTCTTTCCTCCTGCCTGGCCAGCCCCACAGGGAGGCCCAGCCCAGAGAATCTGGCAGTTCCTGACCTTGCTAAAGAAGGGCTGAAGTTTAGTGCACTTATCTCCCTTGTCTTTCTAGGGAAATCCTCACTTCCTCTGTTCCCTGGGATTCCTTGCTCTCCTCAGAAGCCTGAGGAGTAGAGCACTACAATGGACCCCAGATTCAGAGAAACCGTCTGTGTTTTGAACATTTATATCTCTGTTTCCCTGCCCCCGCTGCCTCCATGGCAGGAATTCCTGATGTCCTTGGCTACTCCTGATGGCCATCTTCACACCAGGGCTCTGGCTGGCACTGGGCATGCTGCAGGGTAGGAGAACTCTCCTTGGAGCTATCTTCCTGGATGTCACCAAGATGTGTTTTGAAATGTTTGCAGGCACCATCATGTGTTATGGGCAGACGGGAGCTGGCAAGACATACACCATGACGGGGGCAACTGAGAATTACAAGCACCGGGGAATCCTCCCTCGTGCCCTACAACAGGTAGAGAGTGGGCCCATGGGTGGGATGCCACACAGGTCCGCTGTCTTTACCCCAGATGCTGCCCATCCCAGGCCAGCTCCTGCAGAAAGAGGGGTCCAGGCCTCAAAGGAGTTGCAGCCTGTAGGGGAGACAGGATATACGTAGTGGGTGGTGTGTGTGTGTGAAAACTAGGATTTTGGTTTCCAGACTCTGACCTATACTCACGCTGAGTCTGCTTCCTCATTTGTGAAAGAGGGAGTTGGACATGCTGACTGGTTTCTTGCTATTCTGATGATCTGTGACCTTGTAATTGAGGAATTAGGAGTCCTAACCGTGTTCTTTCCTGGTTTTAATGAGAGGGATATGGACCCTTGCACAGCTTCCTTACTGGCCTGCTCTGGCTTCTTCCACCACCTCAGCCCCAGAAAAGAGCAAAGGGTAGAAGCAAGGCACGGCATGAGCTTTCAGGACTGAGTCAGCCCTGAGGGTCTGGGAAGTGTGACTTAAGATAGGACAGAAGGGCTTACCTTTGAGGTCCGCTAGTCTGGGTTCTGTGAGGACCCTCTTTTTGGAGGTGGGAGGCAAAGGACTTTTCCCTAAAAGCATCTTTAGGTTTTAAAGCTCTGTCCTGTAAGAAGTGAAAATGTCCATCTAGTGTATAACCATCCATGCTGTAATTTTTTGAAGCAATATCCTTAATATCCCACTGTCAAAACTTCAGTAGCTCAGCGTCTTAGACTCTAATAGTCTAGCCCAGCGCTGCCCAATAGAAATATAATGCAAGTCACATATGCAATTTTGACTTTTCCAGTAGCCACAGGTCAAAAAGTAAAACAGGTGAAACTAATTTTAATAATATACTTTAACTCAATATAGCCAAAATATTATTTCCACGTGTAATCAATACAAAAATTATTGAGATATTTTACATTCCTTTTCCTTACACTAAGTCTTTGAAATATGATATGTATTTTACACTTAACAGCACATTTCAATTTAGGCACTAAAATATTCATCAGAAATAGTAGGCTCTGTATTTAGATTTGGTGGGGAGGGTATAGCTCAGTGGCAGAATGCATACCTAGCTTGCATGAGGCCCTGGGTTCAATCCTCAGTACCTCCACTTAAAAAATAAATAAATAAACCATAGTTCCTCCCACCCCCTAAAAAAGAAAAGTTTAAAACAAATTCTACATGTGTATTTAGATTTCATGAAATTTACAGCTGAAAAAGTAGATATATAAACCCAAGTTGTTCCAAACATACTTAAATGTTTACCAATAACTGAATTTAGCATCAGTTTTATATTTTTAGTTAAAATTAAATAAAGTGTAGAACTGAGTTCCTCATTGCATGAGCCACATTTCAAGTGCTCAGTGGCCACTGAGCTAGTATCTACCATATTGGACAGCATAGATCTAGACTGTTAGAGCAAGGGGGTACTTCAGGGATCATCCAGCCCAACTCCCCATTTAACAGATAAGAAAGTTAAGGTCCAGAGAGGGGAAAGGACCAGCCCAAAGTCACCTGATGATACGAACTGGGGAGAGTTATTAGGAGTTGAGAAGGCTGAGTTCTGGCTTGGCTTCTTCCCTTACTAGCTGAGTGACTATAGATGGGTATTACCCCTGTTCTGCTCTAATCACAGTGGAGTTATGTGGATGGAGTTAAGCAATGGATGTCAAAGAGGATTATATGTGGTAAAACTCCACCAAAGAAGATACCTTCACTTCTGAGTCCTTTCTGTTCACCATGCCTCTATTTCTTGAGGCTGTACACGTATTAGTCAATCTGCAAGTTAGCCCTCAATAACCTACAATATGATAATAAATATCACCCGATGGAGCTACTAATAATTGTTGTTTTTGATGATCGTCACATCCACTAGACTCTGAATTCCTTTAGTGCAAGGATTCCCTCCTAAGGTAAGAAATTCCCCTAATACTGATGGGTATTTGGAGCTCTGCTCTTGGTGACTTCTGTCCAATCTCCCATCTAGGTTTTTAGGATGATTGAAGAGCGCCCCACACATGCCATCACTGTGCGTGTTTCCTACCTGGAAATCTATAATGAGAGCCTGTTTGACCTCCTGTCCACTCTACCCTATGTTGGACCCTCGGTCACACCAATGACCATTGTGGAAAATCCTCAGGGGGTCTTCATTAAGGGCTTGTCAGTTCACCTCACAAGTCAGGAGGAAGATGCATTCAGCCTTCTTTTTGAGGTGAGATGAAGTCTAAGGGTTCCTTCCTTCCTCTCTTTCTTTCCGTCCTCCCTCCTCTCTTTTTTCCTTTTCCTCTCTCCCTCCTTTTTAGTTTTTTACTCACTTTGATAACGAGAATGAAAATAAATATATACTCATTTAGCAAGTTCAGATAGTAATGAAAACATGTAGGAGCAAAAAATGAATTCACTCATCTGTTTTCTGTATGTGGCAACAGTAATGTGTAGGTTTGCTTATTTCCTTCCAGTCCTTTTTCCCGTGCAGTTTTTTTTATTTACTTAGTTGAAATTGTCCTTTTTATTCTTTTTTAGTTTACATTAAATCATGGGCATCTATAATATAGAAAAAAAGAATTAATGTCTTTGGTATATAAAAGCTCTTACAAATCAATGAAAAAAACTCCCGGGATATGTTATTCTTTTAAAAGTCATGTAGATTGAAACTCATACATTGCTGGTGTAATGTAAAATGATGCAGCCATTTCGGCAGTTTCCCAAAAAGTTAAACATTAATTTTATCATAGGGCCTAGCAATTTTACTCCTAGGAATCTACCCAAGAGAAATGAAAGTATATGTGCACACAAAAGCTTGTATACAACTATTCATAACAAGATTGTTCATGATAGCCAAAGATTGGAAATAAGCAAAATATTCATCAACTGGAGAATGGATAAACAAAATGTGGTACATCCATACAATGGAAAACTATTCAGCAATAAAAGGAAATGAAGCATTGATACATGCTACAACATGGATGAATCTCCAAAAAATGCTAAGTAAGAGAAATATAAAAGATCACCTGTTGTGTGATTCCATTCATTTGAAATGTCTGGATAGCCACATCTATAGAGACAGAAAGCAGGTTAGTGGTTGCCTGGGGAAGAGGGCAGGAAGTGACTGCAAATGGTCCTGAGGGAACTTTTTCGAGTGATGCAACATTTTAAAAATAGAGTCGTGCTGATGGTTGCACATTCTTGTATGTTTAAGTGGTGCACATAACCATGAATTTCTCTAGGTAAAGCCAAGAACTGCAATTGCTGGATTATAGAATAAGTATGGCTTTAGATTTCTTAGATGATGCCAACTGTTTTCCATAATGGGTGTATTCCCACAACAGGTTATCAGAATCCTCATTATTCTGACCTTAAAATTTTGACTAATCTGACTGGGGTGAGTTGTTTCCCACTGTGGTCTTGGTTTGCATCTCCCTGATTTCTGGTGAGATTAAGGACCTTTTCATGTGTTTATTGACCAGTTGGGTTTCCCTGCTTATGTCTTTTATTTTCTTTATAGATATCCTTTTTCTTTCTCTTACTTATTTGTATAAATTCTTTACATATTCTGAAAACTAGTTT